TTGCCATGCTTATCTCTCTATTTGGCCGATTTCTACTCTTTCCAGCCGCCTCCCCAAGACTGGTAAAGGCTTAGAAACTTAATATAGACACAAAACAGCTCACCTTCCTGAGATCTTCCACGTATCTCTCGTGGTAAACATCGTCTCCATGACGACTCGTGTTGAGGTACTTCACGGTGTCGGGTGTCACGACGTCGCGGGTGAACAGCTCGCGGAAAGTGCTCGCCAACACGTGGGAAATGTCCTGGTACATGTACAAGACACGACCGGCACTCAATGATTACTTTAATAACCTTCAGTCAGCTAAGGTATACGTAGTGGCCATTTGGTCCAAATTTGTATTACTTAATACTAGTGCATGGTTGGGCTATTAAAGCAGACAGCAGCCATATTACATTTATTATAAACAGTTCTCTATAATACAACTTCAATCACGCTGCCAAGGTTTTTGGTGACTTAGAACTAGCTTACCACCCACTGATTTTACAAATAGGACAATTGTCTTCAGAGATAGTCTACTTGGCCACCACATACAATATATTTCTTGTTAATTAATAGTAAGTGATCACAAATTGTTTGGGCCCTTTGTCAGCCATTTGTAGCTGTGAAAGTATTGTACACAAAAAATTGGAAAAGGAGTATAATTTGAAAACCAAAAATTAACACTGGTACAGTACAGCTACAGGTACAGGAACAGGTGTGTCTTACCTGAGATCTACCTGAGGACGGCCTCTGCAGGTACATGGGCGGCTCCGTCCCAGGTGTCTGTACCAGCGACATGGCTGTGCATGGGGAACACAGGTGTGCTTATTACAGGTGTAACACAGGTGTACTAGTACATACTACAGGTGTACTTACCACAGGTGTACTAGTACAAACTACATGAGTACCACAGGTGTACTTAATACAGGTGTGCTTACTACATGTGTACTTACTACAGGTGTACCACAGGTGTACTAGTACATACTACAGGACGAACGAACAACAACACATACTACAGGTGTCCTTAGTACAGGTGTACTTATATCTTACTACAGGTGTAACACATAGTACTAGTACAAAGTCTGTACAGTGATCGTAATACGATGATATTTTCACTGGATGAATAACATCGGTCAGCGGTTTAGGTGGACCGGGCAGGGCAGCTAAGTCCGAATACCCCTATAACAAACTATTTTGCAGCATTTGAGACCAAACTACGCAAAATTAATCGTTCAAAAGTCAGTGACAAAAATTAAGATAGACATCATAAAGCGAAACAGCATACCTGTGTGGAGTATTTCGATCTCTGAGGCGAAAAAATCAACTGAAAGTCTTCATGCCAGTTTTTCAACTGAATCGGTGGAAGCCATCTTTGTTTTTGGTTGCCAATGGAATCCAACTGTCTCGCACCAGCGTTTTTCAAACAGGACCCAAAGTAAAACACGGCCCAGTCACTAAAAAGGAGATAATCACATAAAAGAATTCTGTAATTTTATCTTTTATCTGTAATTTGTATAAAATGCTGTTGAAATAGAACTATAATTGGGGACGAAATAAGAAATAGAAAAGAAACCATTACACAGAAACTATGGTGGGAGACTACAGTTGACCTTTGACCCATAGCCCACACGTGTGAATGTACCAACACATTTCCGTATTTTCCGTCGTGTTTTAATCGGCAAAAATGCTCCGAAGGGCCGCGCGGAGGAAGGACAAGACGTCTCAGACGACGAGACAAGACACCCAAGACGCGGAAGAAAACAAAGAGAGCCCCCAGAAGGTTCTAAGAACGCCACAAGACAAGAAGGCGTGGAAAGCAGCTCGGAAGGCTGAAGAAGAGGCCGCCTTGGAGGAGCTGGTCTTGGGAAGACGGACGGAGGAACCGGTGGACAGACTTAAAGACGCGGAGGAAGAGTCTGAGGAGGTAAGAACATTTAGAGTATCACTAGAACTATTCTGTGGGTTTGGAGGTCACTATGGATGTGGTGGGGTTGGGGGGGGGTACAAATTATTATGATTGCATTCATTATTCAGAAGAAGCTATTATTTACAAGAAGACCTGACATAGACTCAGAAAACAGCAAAGTTTATAACGGGGCAAAAGCAACAACAACCCATAAGCCTACTTTTTGTAATAAGGAGGAGTTATTCAAGTACACTGTATTGGTAACAGCTGTGACATGTAGAAACATTTAATAATTGTAATTTTGCTCCTGATCTCCCCTGTAGGGTTCTGATCATGATGATGACCTTGACAGTCTGGGGGTCATGGAGACTAGGGAAGCTGCATGGGTGGACGATGATGATGATGATGACAGCAGAACAAGGTATAATATACATTATATATATTGGCAATGGCAGCCAAACAACTAACAAACAATATGGGACAGTTTCTTCTAGGATTGAAATGCCATGCAATGGACCTATACCATTATTACGTCACAGTTTGTTTACTGCAATGAATGCCGGTCAATCAACATTTATATTGTACAGGGGTGCGTAGCGCGGTGTGTGTTTGTGTAGCGTTAGCCTAATATAAGGTCTTTATACAGTACTACTTTCGTCTAATGTCACAACTAAATCACCCATTACGGCATGTAATGCTGGGTCAACACAACTAGACGCAGCAAAAATCAAACGTACCTGACTTTGAAAACTTTGAAATGATCTTTATTCTTTAACTGACCGTTCTAGAATGTTCTTTAGAACAGGTAAACAAACTGTGACGTAATAATGGTATAGGTCCATTGATCTTACACATGCCATGTCTTAATTGTTTAAAAATACTACATGTGCACATCTTTACACATATCTAAGTGGAACAAAATCAAATGTTTATCAAACTGGTCTGTGCCAAAACTAAACAAAACTGTCCGTGGCAATGATGATAACTTGACCTTGACCTAGTGTCTCTCATGTTTCAGGGTTGAGAAGACGTCAGACGTTCCGTCCTGGGCACAAACGTCACGCGGAAGAAAACGGCAGCACCAGTCCGATGGTACTAGTTTTAGCATGTTTTTATGTCAGTTTGTCAGTGTACGTTGTAACCAGATTTTCTTGGTCCCTAAGTGATCTTGGATAGGTTTCACTGTATACATCTACTCTCATGGGTAAAACAAACTTTATTCCAACACACAACTTATAGAGATCACGTTGTGAATTGATTGGTCATTAATTATCCAGATGAAGGCGACAGTGGTCTCTGAAAAAATTTGATCTCTGTACTATAATTTGTGTGTTGCACTAAAGTTCAACATTTTACAATGATTACTACCAACACAGATGAACTTTCATGATTATCTACTCTCATAGTTTCTCCCTACTACCTGGACACTCCTCCAGATGACAGTGATGAGGAGTTATTATTGATAGCACACAGGTCTGCCAGCTGTAGTATCTGTACCATTGTTTATTTATTTGTTGTTGTTGTTGTTGCACAGATGACAGTGATGAGGAGTTGTTATTGATAGCACACAGGTCTGCCAGCTGTAGTATCTGTACCATTTTTTATTTATTTATTTATTTGTTGTTGTTGTTGTTGCACAGATTACAGTGATGAGGAGTTGTTATTGATAGCACACAGGTCTGGCTGTAGTATCTGTACCATTGTTTATTTATTTATTTGTTGTTGTTGTTGTTGCACAGATGACAGTGATGAGGAGTTATTATTGATAGCACACAGGTCTGCCAGCTGTAGTATCTGTACCATTTTTTATTTATTTATTTATTTGTTGTTGTTGTTGTTGCACAGATGACAGTGATGAGGAGTTGTTATTGATAGCACACAGGTCTGCCAGCTGTAGTATCTGTACCATTTTTTATTTATTTATTTATTTGTTGTTGTTGTTGTTGCACAGATGACAGTGATGAGGAGTTGTTATTGATAACACACAGGTCTGCCGGCTGTAGTATCTGTACCATTGTTTATTTATTTATTTGTTGTTGTTGTACAGATGACAGTGATGAGGAGTTATTACAGCACACAGGAGACCTGCTGGCAGAGTCCACAGCTCTGCCCCGGGGGAACATCAACATCAAACGCTGCAGCGACGTCAACAAGACTTATCCACACCAGGTGAGACTGAGAACATTGAACACTGCAAAAAATTTGACTGCATAATAATCAATTATGTGTATTTTCCTTTCATGTGTAGTTCAACTTGGTTAGCAGCACTGCCTCTGGACCAAGAGGTTGGGAGTTCGAATCCTGGCTGTTTTTGCCTCAGTCATGCATGCTACTGGAAAGGGTTGCAGTCCTTGGTCCACTATTCTTTGTACTTGTTGAAAAGAGCTAGGGGAATTTCCCTGGTACAATGAACCTGTAAATATACTATAGTATAGCGTCTGTCTTCTCTGTCCCGACCAGTGGAAGAGAGAGTAGCTTTTTACTGAGCAACACTGCTTCAAGATCACTTTCCCTTTTCCTTCCCCAGGGCCCGGTAAGGAGAGTGGAGTTCCACCCTTCAGCACAGGTGTGTCTGACAGCAGCTCAGGACGTGCTCGCCCTCTTCCAGGTACAACAGGCAGATATCAATTAGTCAAACTGCTAATCAGTATGTCAATTAAGTGAATCTGCTGATTATAGGTAGTTTTCCAACTGAATGTATACAGTAAAAAAACAGTTCTTTTTCGTATCTGCTTCCTAACTGCTTCTTTATCTGACTCATCAAAAGCACCTAAAAACTGCAATACAGAAATTGTCACTGACACACACACACACACACACAGCACTGATCATCATTGTGTCTGTCCTGGATTTTGCCCTCTCCTTGTCTTACATGTAAGTGTTGTTCATTGTAGGAAGCCCTTGGCTCAACATTAATTAACATGTGTGCATGTACTCCACTGTCCCCCAGGTAGATGGCAGGAACAACCCAAAGATCCAGACGCTACACCTGGAGAAGTTCCCCATCAGGTCGGCTCACTTCACCACCTGTGGGAGGGAGGTGGTTCTCACCTCGACTGTTCGGTGGTTCTATGTGTACGACATGATTGCTGGCAAGGTCAGCAAGATACCCAAAATCAGAGGTGGGTGGAATTCTTGTTGTATCCAGAACTGTGCCTTATCCAGAACCCTGCTCAGGCACGGTTTTGGATACTCCACGTGTACCCAGACCCGTGTGCTCAGGCAAGGTTCAGAATATTCAGAACCATGCTTTATCCAGAACTCTGCTCAGTCAGGCACAGCTCTGTGTACTCCATATGCGTATCCAGAACTGTGCCTGGCGCAATTCTTGGATAGGTCTATTGGGACTATCTAGAACAGTGCCTGATCCTAACCCTAACCCATTCAGGCATAGAGCTATAAAGGCACGGTTCTGGATAGTTCTCAACAGTTGAACCAATAATTTCCTGCAAGGCTCAGAATACAGGGCCCAAAATACTGGGTGCACCCAAAACTGAAGCTGTGCACCTAATTTTTTTCTGTGGATGCACCAGTGCACCTAAACATTTTTGTAGGTTTACGTATGTTTCATATTCTTGACATCTGAGTGTCAGAAAAAAAATGAAATATTTGTTAACGTGTGTAGATGACAGCACCATAATAAGAATGTTAAATTTGAGTCCAGAACCTGTCTGTGTGGATGTTTATTTGTTTGTTTATTTGTTTATTGTAGGTGTAGATGACACGAGTCTGCCCCGTTTCGAGGTGTCTCCAGACGGGAGATTTCTGCTGTTTCTGGGGAAGAACGGCTTCCTGCATCTGCTGTCTGCTAAGGTAATTATAAGGCTGGACCAGAGGTCTGTCACCATGGTAACTGGTGCTGTAGCAGACACCCTGTGGTGTTGGGTTACATCATGTAGCAAGTTGAGGACAGAGATGGAGGGCCGACTCTGTATGAATGTGAATATAAATGTGTTTGAGTAAGAATAATTAACAGTTTGTTGACCTAGACTGTCTGGCGGTAAACATTGTGCAGTTGCTTTGCAAATCGATTCTTGCTAAATGTTCTTGTTTTTCTGTAGACAAAGGAATGTGTGAGCAGTCTTAAGATGAACAGCGATGTCTCAGCGGCGACCTTCTCCAAGGACGGTCGACACCTGTACTCAGTAGGAGGTGAGGTGGCTTCCTTAAGATCACGTATCGTCTTGAAACTAATTCCTATTTCCTCAGACGATGCTGCTCGGCTTTGTTCTCAAGATCAAGGTCCACTGCTGGCAAGTCCATTAAGTCTGATATCTGAATTTCAAACCCTTTGAAAGGTTACTTCAAGGATTTTCAGAAGCAAAGTTTCATTGAGTAAATCGGGTGAATATAAGTCCCTTCATTTTAAGCAAATTAGATCTGGAAATTCAGTTGGATTGTTACATGAACGTGTAGTATGTAACATCACACTGCCTGGGTTTATGCAAGTTAATATTAACAGTGTTCGAAATACCTGCCTGCAGTCTGCAATCTGCAGATAGATTTTCAAGATTGCAGAAGAAAAAATTATACAATCTGCACATTTGCAGAAGGAAAAATAGGCTCCAGATTCATTAGTTTTCAATTTAGCAAACTAAAACTCCCAGGCCCCAGGGACAGACTGTTCTGAAACAACAGGAACTTCTTCACTAATTTGCATCATCCTTGTCTTGACTTGTCTAACTTTTGTTTCCTTTTGGACTTCCAAAAAATTGTCTTCACTAATTTGCATATCAATCCATAGTTTATGCTTACAAACCTGAAATTCTCCTGCAGTCCAGTAATGCTACTGTACAGATTTACAAAGCTATATATGATGTAAAAAAGGAATTATTGGTTTGAGAAGGTTGTAGTATGGAGGCTTGTGTATTTGCAGAAAGGTTGTAATATGGAGGCTTGTGTATTTGCAGAAAGTATTTCCAATTTGCAGAACAAAATTTTGACTCTTCTGCAATATTGCAGAGTACTGAAAAAAAGTATTTCGACCACTGATTAATATTGTTTATTGTTTCAAAGGCCTCCATTAGTGACAGTACATGATGTCACTGCTCTTCCTGGAGTCTTAAGTTGTAACATATAGTACATAACATACACAAATATGATACAACATGAAAAATTATGACATACACATTACATCAAATTTGAGTACACAATATATATATATATATATATATATATATATATATATATATACATTCTCTAATTTACTACCAGTATAAGTGTATAACCCTAGTTTTGTCCGTTTGTACTTTCTGTCCCCCAGATGAAGGTGAGGTGTATGTGTGGGATGTGGGGACCAGGGACTGCATCCACAAGTTTATAGATGACGGCTGCACACATGCCACCACCATCGCTCTGTCTCATAACAACAAGTATCTGGCTACAGGGTTAGTACCTTATTGTATCCAGAACCGTGCCTACCGGTATCTAGTTCTATGCCTGAATGGGTTAGGATCATCAGGCATGGTTATGGATAGTCTCTATTGTATCCAGAACTGTGCCTGTCTAGTTCTATGCCTGAATGGGTTAGGGATAGAATCAGACACGGTTCTTGATATTTTCCGTGTATCCAAGAACATACATTTTCCCAAGGTCCTGGATACCTGTGGACTATCCAGAACTGTACCTGAAGTTCTGTGATGTCATGTTAGCAGTGGATTGCTCATTTCTAGACAGAAACTGCAGTTGAACAGTCAATAGTTGAAACCTGTTTAAGAATGACTTCTATCAAGTTGACAAGATGAACTTTCAAGCTAACAAATAAATGACTGTGTGTTCCCCAGGTCCCAGAGTGGCGTTGTGAACATCTACGACACACAGACCACGCTAGCTAGCTCCTACCCAAAGCCGCTCAAGGCCCTTCTGAACCTGACAACACCGGTCACTCAGACGTGCTTCAACCACAGCGGAGAGGTCCTGGCCATGTGCAGCAGGGAGGTGTTCAAGGCAGCCAGGCTGGTGAGTTGAGTTAGGCAAGAAGTTAGGAACTGTTAAAATGAAACTGAGAAGAAATTGTTTAAAGTTAAAACTTTTGTTCCAACACAAAGGTAAAATGCACTAGATCTTTCCACTCTGGTCTGAGAAGAAATTGTTAAAACCACTTCCAGATTTCAAGGCATCTCTGCACATTATGGTGCACACTGCACAATGAAGTTTCCTAGTACTAGAAAGAACATGCTGTACTCAATCGAATGGTACATGACACGAATTGCATACACAACGTTCTGTCTCTTAAGTCGGTTTCTTGGTACATGATTGTAGTTCAAATTTTCTAGTACATGTAACGTTACTTCCCTTAATTTCATATTATGACTAGCATTTTATCTTTGCCCTTAAACTGATAAGTTTACTCTGAATCCTGACTTTTCCTTCCTTGTGACCTTCAGGTGCACCTGCCGACCTTGAGTGTGTTCTCTAACTTCCCGGAGGCAGACAGTACGGTGAAGCGTGTGCAGTGTCTGGACTTCTCCCCGCACAGCGGCTACCTGGCCATGGGGAACAACCAGGGCAGGGCTCTACTCTACAGGTGGGTAGCAAGTAGCCTCCACCAGGCCTTCCTACGGGGGTACGGGTCCTAGCGTACACCAGGCCTTCCTACGGGGGTACGGATCCTAGCGTACACTAGGCCTTCCTACGGGGGTACGGATCCTAGCGTACACTAGGCCTTCCTACGGGGGTACGGATCCTAGCCTCCACCAGGCCTTCCTATGGGGGTACGGATCCTAACCTCCGCCAGGCCTTCCTACGGGGGTACGGGTCCTAGCCTCCACCAGGCCTTCCTATGGGGGTACGGATCCTAACCTCCACCAGGCCTTCCTATGGGGGTACGGATCCTAACCTCCGCCAGGCCTTCCTACGGGGGTACGGATCTAGCCTCCACCAGGCCTTCCTACGGGGGTACAGATCCTAGCCTCCACCAGGCCTTCCTACGGGGGTACGGATCCTAGCCTCCACCAGGCCTTCCTACGGGGGTGCGGATCCTAGAATTTGGTAAAAAAAGGGAAATAGTTGGCCAGGAGAGTCAGTCCACAAGAGGGCAAATGAACTCTACACTGGCTAAACTCCCCTAGTCAATTATTCTCCCTATTGGCTAAATTTTATTTACTTTTTGAACCCACAGTTATTCTCAGACTGGTGGAGACTCTGTAGCAAGGGAGAGGGGGGCGTTCAGTTTTGCAAACTTTGAATTTGAACCCCCAAATCTACTAACAACTACAGATACAAGAAATTGGTTTTATTCATGCAACAGTGTTTACTTTTTTTTTCAAATTTTCTGCCTTTCTAGGATCAAACATTACAAGGACTTTTGATAGAACCTGTGCCAAGGTCATCTAGTCATCATGATCAAGGTCATCAGCAACCTGCCGGACTTACAAACCACCTGCGGCTCAACACGATTGGACAACTGAAGTCACCTGACCAGGATTATTATCATATGGGCAAGCTGTGATTTTTCCAAGAGGAAAAAATGAAATATAAATATGTCTCATTTGAGTTTTAGCTGCATCAAATGACATTCTTCTACTGAAGGATTGATCAATATGACTCAATAGGCTTTGCCTATATGTATTTTTATTACGTTATGAGTTATGTATCAATTATTTCCTACACTAAGAGAGACCTTTGTTGCACAACTGTAAATAAGATGTGGATTTCTGTTACAAGTCTTCAGCTTGTATTTATCAGTCATTACTTTTGTCAGTAGTTAATTATGATTGAAAAAAATCAAACAGGAATTTACCGTGTAAGTACATTGTACTTTATTTTATTGCAAACCAGTCTACTATATTAACGTTAATACAATGTACATCTGTGCTTCTTACATATATAAAGTAAGTCTTCCAATGGCAATAAAATTTTATATATGGAACTACATGTACAATGTAGGTGTGTGACATACATGTAAGGTACATGTAAGTTAGATGCACAAAGGTAGGTGTAACAGGTGATTCAGTGTAATACATTGTATATAAACTGGATGCTGCCTTGTCTTGAATTGGTGTGTTATGCAGAAGGGTGGTTATACCTTAACTCCAAGCAGATGTATCAGTGGCCAGGCTGTATCCAGCAGCCATACTAGCCTCCGAAGCAGGCTTATAGAACTTGGGGGTCTTCGGCTGTTTTCTGATTAGCCTCCGTAGCAGGCTTATAGAACTGGGGTTTGGTGGTCTTCTGCTGTTTTCTGATTAGCCCAGTTCTAGAAACGGGGGTAATTCAACCAGGCCGGCTATGCTGTCTATATGCAATCAGAAAATAGCAAATAAAAGATCCTGAAGACCCCCAGTTTTTGGCATGCTATGGAGGCTACAGCCAGTGTAGTATCAAATGGATACAGCCTGGCCAATTTGATAGTAGTCTTTTGCAGCCACTGATACATCTGCTTGGAGATTTTAGGTTATACCAGCTGTACTGATCTAGAGTTGCTGTCAACACAGATACAGTCATACATGTAGATATATGGGTATTCAGAATACCCCGTAGGTATAATTTAGATAATTTTAAATAAAACTCAGACAACAGAGATAGAAAAGTTCTTTATTCAGATTTTCTTCTTACAAAAAATTTTCCTCAGGATGGATCCAAAACAGTCCTTACGTTCCAAACTATGATTCTTTTCTATAATTTGTGTCAACAAATAGAGCTTTCAAGGTCACTCAGGCCATGGAGGTAAAAAGACCTCCATGCTCAGGCACATCAAAGCAGCCAGAAATTATGTCTATGTTTTTCATGGGAAAAAGACTACAAAATCCTAGCTTGACAACAAACTACGGCGTTAAAATTGTGCAGGAAGCATCACACAACATTACTTTATCGATTAAGCAAGAAGTTGGTTTCGGAAACGTTTTAGAAAACTGTCCAACGTTAGAAGAACCGAGACGCATACTTTCTACCGTCACTACTATCTTAGATGATGAATGTGTTGGTGTGCCGCAGTCTATTTTGTAACGGCGATTCTGATTGGCCAGCGGTCGAAATGGCGGCATGTCCGCTTTGGGGTAGTTTTGTCGAGACTATCTTCTTTTTGATGCCCTTTTCTCGAGTTCTTCACACTTTTATCGTATTTCTGACACAAACACACTACATGTGTACTGTTTTAAGCGTCATTTGCGAACAAAGTAGAGGCATAATCGTGCCCCGATCAACAATTTTTGCGATAGGCCTGCGCTTTAGCGCCACCAATCACAGACCGCCTTGTAATCCACTGCAGGTATTGTATTAGGTTGCAAATGAAGGGAACTATTGGTAGCCATACTTACGAATCAAGTCCCAAACACTATATTTTCAAAACGAAGCTTTAATTTTACTGATTATTGCTTTAAAATTAATCAATATCAATATTGTTTAAAACAAAGTAAGTTTATTTGTATATTTATCATCTAAAGATAGATTATAGGGCGTTTACATGTAACGCGAATCTACAGTCGAACAGCGTGCTATGCTTACTCCCGGCGGTCTCGCGGTCCTGGGTATTTGTTTGCAATGGCAGAGGAAAGGACCGACGGGCTGTTACGAGTTTCGCACATAATTTTGCGTCCAGGCTCTTGTGCCACGAGGCTAATCTCTCAGTCGATGGTCGCACTGTGATCGCCCAGAGGCCCGGAGTCTGCCGATAGTCCAAAACGATGGATAGCGCAGTTCACTCGTCCCGAAAACCGGAATCAAGCAATAGTGGGTTGGATTCATGTGTTCGGAGTTGTGTGTGTGTGTGTGTGTGTGTGCACCCCCCTCCCTCTCTAGTTTCGATCTCTTGCTCGCAAATTTCGCCCCTGACGGTTTTTTTGGTGTTTTTCCGCAGGTCTAAACGGGATACCGGATCGCCGAGGCGGCCACGGGGAGAGAAAAGGCGGCCATGCGGGGCACCACGGCCACTGGCGCGCCTACAAACTACTGGTGGACCCGGCACTGCAGAAGGGGGGGCACCAGCAGAAACTCGACAAAGTTTACCGCTACGATGGGGTGGTGCAGGGGGTACGTATGGGGGGCTCCGTGGGTACGTATGGGGGGCTCCGTGTCGGTTTGCAGAAGGTGTTGATAAGGCCTTAAGGAAAAAAAATGTTATGTTTCCTGACCGACCCTAGAAAAACCTGCCGACCCTAGACTTTTTTGATGGACCCCTGCAAGGGACATAAATTTTCAAGCTGATCAACCTTTTGATCTGACACCTCAGCGATGAAACATTGTACAATTGGTTTTCTAACATTGACGTTGAAAATATGAGTGTCTTCATGCAAGCAAGTTTTGCTTCGTTAAACTGTATTGTATAAGTTGGATCACTAGAGATCACCAAGATAATCCCTACCTACCGACCTTAATTTTTTCGGGACTGAAACAAGAAACACAACATTTTTTTTTCTAGGCCTAACCACCTAGCAAAGTGACACAGTGTTCAGTAACATGTCATCTCTATCTGAAGACTTCTTCGAGAAGTCTTCAAGTTATACCAAGTTTGGCAGAAGACTTTCAAACACGTTGGTCCCAAAACTCCCACAAGAGTACCTAAAAAGCAGCTTAACTATAAAAACACCTGTGGAGACATTTTTATCATAACATGCAGGAATCCAACATTTCAGCAACACAAAACTTTAGAAGGTTTTCAGATTAATCTGCCCCTCCCAACTTCTACTTCGCACCTATTTACCAGCTTCAGCTTCACACCTATATACTATAGCATTTCCCATATAGCACATGCCACTAACCAGGCTTCAGTGCCCTGTAAATGCTGACAAAGCTCAACGTGCTTACTAGCTGTATACCCACATTCTTGACCAACATTTTCTAGAATACTACAGTCTGCATCGAGAGTACAACATGTGAACCTATAGTCGCAATGAGGATATAACAGTTAGTGCCTCCCTTCCCACAGAAGGTATCTGGGTATCAAAGAGTAGTCTCGATACCAAAGGAAATTTTCACTAAGCTCAACATGCCCACTTTAGCACATTCCTGACCAAATCCGGATCCAACAATATCTAGAATACCAAAACCTGCACCTAGAGTATATATGTGGAGCTAGAGTCACAATGAGGATATTCCATGATTGAGAACCTCCTTTCTCAAAGTTGGTATTACTTAGATAATCTCGATACCAAAGAAAATTTTCACAAAGCTCTGGCCACACCTCTGAGGCTCTGATTGGTGAAGCATCAGTTCAGAATTCTTTTCGTAAAAACAAGGATCATGCTTATGCAGCATTTCTAAGAAGGGCCTTTGATTAACTGCACCAGTGCACCAATTCCCATCAACTACTTTCAAGTGCATTTACAGGGATAAAGAGAGCCAGGTTTGAAAACAGAAGATTATTGGCTTATAAATGAAGTTGCCTGGCAACATGAAACACTGAAAATGTTCAGGCCTCTAGAACTGCAAAACCCATGAACCAAAGTTAGAAAAGCTCAATATGCAGGGAAAATATAGGATAGTATGCCCAAAGTATATACCTTCGATTACCTGCCAACAACAATCAAAGATGCTATCATGAAAGTTCTACTGTCTAAGACTAAAGTGTACTGAGGAAGACCAGAGTGACTGGTTGAAAGCTCTAGGTGAGAGAACTTTTTGTGTTGGACCAAAAGTTTTAACTTTGAATAACAATCAAAGAATGAAGTGTAGTGCAATTTTCACCCCAAGTAAGCCCCTTTTGGCCCATCTGATTATGAAGTAGCGAACACTGTAGCAACCTCTAGTCATCTGTAAACAATTAGATTTGTAACGTAATCAGCAACTCGTTATGGAAGGTCGTTTGCGGCTCCAACTTGAAGTTGTGCCTCTGTTAAGTATTGACTTTAGCCAACATTTTAAAAGGAAGGATTTAAACTGTTACGCACGACAAAGTTCTGTAAGCGTAGGAGCTTTTAGACCGCATCCGCTATCTTTCTTCAGCTAATGACAAACATTGTTTTGGTGTCTGGTTACAGCACACTGATTTTTTTTCTTGTTTCTCAGGATTTTTGAGTAAAAATTGAGCAGCAAAAAAAAAGTACTTTATAAACTAGGAGGAAAACTTGATTCACTCACTGACTCTCTGAAACTTTGTGTACCAAGGTACACTGGTACACTGGTACAGACTTAACCCTCAGACTTTGTTGTCTTGGTGATTTTCCAGTTAAGCAGTATTTTGGCCCAAGAAGCAACAAGTTAGAATTACTAGTAATGTGGCCTTAGAAACCATGGAGAAACAATCAGAAGAACAACTGTTCACTAACTGGCTGTATCATGGTGCTACCAGTATCAGTTACACTCAATAAGGAAAATATAAACTGTTACTTGTACTTTAATTTAAACTTTTCTCCAACTCAATTCAACAGGTATGAAAATACTAGGAGAAAACTGTATACATGTACTAGCTAAATTTGAACATTTTGGGAGGGGTGCTAACTTGCTAAGACTTGCTTCCTTGCTTGGGGAGAGCCCTGATTATGAATGTGTGTACAGGTTTTTCTCTGTGTTTAGACAATAATTTTATGACTTTGTTCCCCCCCCCCAGAAACCCGACCTTTACCCTCCCATCCACGTCCGAGACCCGCGCCGCCTGTCGCGACTGTGGCGCCGGAACGAGCCGGCCGATCTGCCGGTACCCAAGTTCAAGGTCTGTATCTATGCCTGTGTACATGTAGCTGATATTAGCGCCCTTCTGCATAACACATCTAACCTTTGCACATCTAACTGTAGAGCTATTTAGGTGATGCCCCAAGTGTGCTTGGTGGCAACAAGTTCCACGTACACTCTACCATAGTTTTAGGGAAAAACTAAGTTTTTGAACCCCTCAATCCTTACCTGATGACTCTGGTAGTACTTGAAGGCATGACTGTTTGAAAGTGTTTCTTGTTTTTTTCTGAGCTGGTATTAGGTAGCACTTGCACTTAATAGTTGGTGTCTCCACCAGTTTATTAGTTATTTATTGGTTTATTTGTATCATCAACAGTATAACTGGCAGCCACGACGAACAAGGCTGAATTTCAATGCTTGTTTACAATAACATAAATAATTCATAGTAGATCATTAATAAGTTAGAATCATGTCTACAATGACAAATTAAAGACTTCAGCTCAATGAATTTAAATATTTACAATAATACTTTGTATAACTGATGATTATCAACATTGAAGTCGTGTGGTACATCATGCATAGTCTTGACATTTTCCCTCCCCTCAGGTTGATGAGTTCTACGTAGGTTCCCCGCCGCGTCGACAGATCACCTTCTCTAACCTGAACGACAACATCAACACGGGCTTCCTGCAGGACATGTGCAGGAAGTTTGGAACTGTGGAGGAGATGAAGATCTACCACCACCCAAAAACCCGCAAACATCTCGGACTCGCCAAGGTTGGTTTGTTTCGCATAACCGGTAAACAGCCTTTAGGTGTAACACACCAGTTTTGTACATGTTTAAAGTTAAAACTTTTGGTCCAACACAAAAAATTCTCTCCCTTAGAGCTTTCGACCAGTCACTTTGGTCTTCCTCAGTATACTGACCCAGTGAGGCTTGTCACATGGCTGACCAGAGTGACTGGTCGAAAGCTCTAGGTGAGAGAATTTTCTGTGTTGGACCAAAAGTTTTAACTTTAAACATGTAACTACCAACACAGGTGAACTTTCATGATAACACCAGCATGTACATGTACAAGCTGTGTAAGACCAGACTGTAAGGTTTGAACCACTCACACCAGGAAGGTCCCCTACTCTTTTCGATAAGTGTGGTGGGTTCTTTAACGTACACGGGGTGTGGCTCTCCCAAACACGGGATCTCCATAATTTTAATGTCCTATCCGAGGGATGTCCCTAACCGAAGCTAAGTACATTGTACTCTTGCACCTTGCCGCACTACTTGATATCAAAATAGCCCTGTATCGTCCCTGTTTAAGACTGATTAATACGAACAAATGACATGTTGTTTTAATTTAACTGCTAAATCAACTAATGTTTAGCTATTTTATTATTTCATTGTTAACACTTTGTAATATTTTATGTTATCTGTTGAAGTGAGTTTTGTGTTAGTTCATGTTTGTAAGTGAAACGTATTTCAGCATATCGGCTGCAAAGTTTTTACAGAATAAACCATTCATTCTTTCCTTCATTCCAGGTTGTCTTCGCCACCACCACGGCTGCCAAGGACGCCTCCAACAAACTCCACAGAACCTCCGTCATGGGGAACATCATCAGTGTGCAGATAGACTCCAAGGGTGGGTTGGAGATGCCTGCAAACTACAGTACAGAATAGATCATACAATTCTATTTACTAAACAATAAAGGCTAACATAAAGGCTCACAGCATGTGGAAATGAGTGAGTGAGTGTGTGTGTTTGTGTGAGTGAGTGAGTGATATTACAATCAGATGGGGCTTTTGGTATCTTTTCTTGAAACAGATAAGACAGAGTTGAGTTCACTGAGATCCACAATTGGAGTTGCTATTACTAGTATTAGATAGAGTCTTGGAACTTCGTATATTTGCACTGTGAGGGTTGTCAAATCTAAAGACACATTCATGTCTGCTGTACATAATTGCAGAGCTGGAAATACCACCTGCATGTGCAGATTCAAGTAAAATTAGGGCTGTGTAGGGGATAAGATAATGATTGACAGCTGTGTTTCCTCTCCAGGTAAGATCCGTGAGCAGTTGTACGACAGTATCGTGCACAACAAGCCGGCCCAGGACCCCCCGCAGCTCAACAAGTCCGACCCGCGCCGACTGTCTATGGACGAGAGACCCCACGCCTTCCTGCCGCCACAGCGAAACCTTCCCATCATGCCTGAGGTGAGTTACTTATCCTCAGACTTACTTATCCTCATCGTCCCTTGCGAGATGTAAGGCCAATCATTGACATTTTCCTTCTATCTGAGTCTAGCCTTGGACACCTTCTCTACTGATCTCCAGGACAGTCCCATAGACACCAGGTCATCCGACACAGTTCTTCTGCATTGGTTTTGAGTCTGCCTCTTTTTCTTTTCCAAACAGGTCTCCAGTTTGAGGCAGTTTTAGATATTCTTGAGTCATCTATCTAATACATGGCCAATGACATTTCTGTCTTCTGTTAGTGATTATTGTCTGCTGGATAGTCTTCTACAACCAGTTTTGTTATTCTGCATGGTCAATAAACTGCCTTACTGAAAAGCAAACTTACAGATAGGAGAGTTTGTTTGTTTGTTTGTTTGTTAGTGAGACAACCATGTATGTTTCCGTGCAGGCCCACCACAGACCAGAAGGCCCGCTCCCTCCTGCCCCCCTCCCCCCTGCCAGGCACGAAGTGGTTCCTCCCGTGTACCCACCTGTGCCCCAGCCTGAGGTCCACCCGGCAGGTGTTCCTACAGGTGTGCCACCAGGTGAGAAAAACTTAACGTCTGTTAATAAAATTGTTATTTCGATGGTGTCATATTTTCTCATCATGATGGAAGGATTTTTTTACAGGCTTGGACAAGTTTTCAAAATCCACTTGCCCTAGTACAAGGTCTTTTCCATTTGCCCGAACCAACTTTTTACTTGCCCGAAATATACATTTTTACTACCAGCAAGGAAATTATCTGATTTTGGACTTTGTAATTTTGGATTCTTTATTTATGGAAATAATGTGGTTTGACTTGCTCCAAACACTGTAGCGGCTATATTATGCTTTATCACACCATATCCACTGAGAAAGGGCGGGCCATTAACGCTATTATCATATCCTATCAAAACTTACACAGTAAAGAGTGACACATTCCTGTATTTCACATACAAACTTTTTTTACTGAGAACTAAACCCATCCCCACCACAGGTGTGTACCAGCCTCCCCGGCAGGAGGCTCCCAAGGGGGGTTACTACAGCGACCCCCGGCGGAGACTCTCCTCCGAGACGGGCGGCGGCCCGCCGTTCGTTCCTTACGAGAACGTCCCCCACAACTCTTACGTCGGCCGCCCCCCTCCCGCCGGCCCCATGGACGACCAGGGCTACTACAGCAACACCCCCTCCAGCTACTCCTCCTCAGGACAGCAGGGAGGCGGGTACCATGGCAACAGTTACCATAGCAACACGCCCGGACTGTCGGAGAGCACGCCCAGCTACGTGCCGACGCCGTCCAGCTTCCACAGTGCCGGACAGACGCCGCAGAGCTACCCAGGTGGCACCGGCACGCAACCGCCCTCGAACTATCCAGTCCACACGCCAGGTAGTTACTACACCGGGACGCCAAATGTCGGTTTCCATGGAAACACGCCGCAGTATTCCGGCGGGAACACGACCGTTGCTGCGGCAACGACCACGGCGAATGCGAGCGTTGCTACGGCAACCCTGCAGCAGGAGGACCCGGCGCAGAACGGAGCGTCGGAGAAAACTTCGGCGGGGGACCCGAAGGGCAGCCTGAGTCTGGACTCGCGCATCGAACTCCTGCTGAAGCAACAGAGAACGTTTCCCGCGCTCGGCGGCGCGGTCTCGCCCGCGTACAGCGAGGACGATAAACAGGCTGCCGGCGGCGGCGGGGGGTTAGACCGCTCCCCCACGCCGCCCCCCCTGGAGTCCTTCACCCCCCCGCACGACTCCTCCCCCCGCCCCCCTCCCCAGAACTCCACCCCCTCCGGATCCTCCCTCCAGCTGCTGAAGGCTGAGGATCTGCTGGAGGAGATATCCCCAGGGTCGCTGGCAGACAGTGATGAGGACAGGAACAGGGAGAGGGACAACAGGGAGGAGGAGACGGGTACCATGGTGACAGACAGGAACGCTGAGGTTTGTTATGTACTTAATATTGTATTATGATACGTGATAGTCAAGTCAAAGTTTATTACACAATGAATGATTGTAACACTTGCAATGTAAGATTACTAGTTGGTATCAGTCTATCAAGATTCTACATATGAGTTCAACGGGTATCATGTCCGACAAAATATGTTATTGTTTCTTGTTTGTATTTTTAGTGGTTTAATGTATGTTTGTTTCTATGTTTCCATACATGGTTTAATGAATTAAGATGGAAGTCTTGAAATCATTTGAGCATTTTATAAATAAACCCAAGGCAAAGAACACTTGTTACCTTCAGTTTGGAATGACATTGAAAATTCCCCTAGGTGCCCACTGCCCACTGCACAAATTGCTTAGTGCCTGTTTTTCTAATCCAAGTGCCCACTGCTCAAATTGCTTAGTGCCTGTTTTTCTAATCCAGGTGCCCACTGCAAGAATTGCTTAGTGCCTGTTTTTCTAATCCAGGTGCCCACAGCACAGATTGATCAGTGCCTGTTTCTCCCCCAGGTGCCCACCCCAGTCATGGATGAGGAGAAGGGGGAGGGTGACATGGACATTTCCTCTGGAAACGATTCAGACGATGACGACAAAATGTCCCTGTCCCCCCTCAGCAGCCCCGAGCAGTCCAAACTGGTTGTGAACCCACCCCCCGCTCCCTTCCACCCCCCCAACGTACCCCCTCCCAACTTCCCACCCCCTAACCTACCTCCCCCCATGCTCCCCAACCCCAGCGTACCTCCCCCTAACATCCCC